ATTTCCCTTCAGTGGTAAAATTCAATATCTACAACGGGCATAGTAAAGGCGTTTACAGTAAGTCTTTCTACGACAGACCAACGGACCACGAGTGCCCCTGTCGGTCAACCAATCACGCACCGCGGTATCGCGTGTCATCTTACCTGCGGTATCTGTACTACGGTGTCTGTACCGCGCACTTTGAATGGCTGCATCTGTACAAACAATCAATCCAACCAAATGCACTGAATGGGCTCCTTTCATTTGTAACCTTTATGCTTCTCCTCCATTAACATATTTGGCATCAAATAGAAATAAATGTTTTCAGTTACATATATAAAATATTCAGGTGGGTAGCTGTGTCAGCATGCGTAGACTGCAAAGGAACAAGTTATAGGTTTATTCCATGCTGAAAAGGGAAGAAAGAAAACACAACATTTCGGCTGTAGAGCCTTCTTCGGGTGTGAGCCGAAATATTGAGTTTTCTATCTTCTCTTTTCAGCATGGAATAAACCTATTACTTGTTCCTATATAAAATATTCCTTCTTTTAATTAAAATTTAAGAATTAACAGGATAATCAACTCTGCATAAGAATGTCTAGTGTATGAAGAAGGGGATTTTGAACTACATAATTAATACTACAAAGGCAGCATAACAGATATTAATGAAGCTAAGCCAGGGTAACCTTAGCGTCTTATGCTTGCCAGGCATTTTTAAGCTTACAAAGTGAGAATCAGACTTCTCCAATGCTCCTGTAGAAAGTTTGAGACCCCCAGAAGAATAGGAGATTCTTCTGGGGGTCTCAACAGTGTTTGACAGCACAGCAAATGTATGAATACATTTAAGAGTGAAGCACTTAATTTTCACTTACCCTGTGTGTACATGGAGAGTGTAACAAGGGCTTCAAATTAAAATGTTATGCATTGTATACAGATTCACCCTAAAAGGAAGTAAATCAAACATTAAGAAAGCTGTTGTCCAAATGGTTAAATAAGTAAACTAAGCAGAAAATGTATGTAACATTAATTAAAAATGTATGATAAAGAAGAGCAATATCCAATTAAAGGAAGAGTGTTTAATGAGTTGTATAAGAGGTTAAAATATATTAGAAAAACTAAGATAATGAAATAAATATTATGATGAAGTTTAAAATAATAAGGTTTCCAGTGATACAACATCAAAAGAAAATAATACAGTTTTTATTGAAAGGAAATGGCTGATGTATTTGATGGACATTTCAATAATGTGTTTTCCAAGAAAGAAATCAATAACATGCCTCAGGCTGAGGATAGACAAAGCTCTGAAGTGAATATTATCAATATAGAAAAAGAATATATACAGTAGCAGAATTGTTACAGATTTGGTATAAGCACAAGTACAAATAAAACCTAATTTAAAATACTGTATACAAGCACATTACAGTTTGACCACCACATTACAAATAAGTTGTCTGATGCTCTGGAATAAGATACTGTACATTCCGGGATTTAAACTAATGCTGTACTCTGACAAGCTAAAAGAAAAACATGTTTTAAGAAGTTTGTATAGAGAAGACCATGAAGGAAGTCACTAGAAATATCTGGGTGAATTTCTCAGATCTGTTAGGTACAAGTAATCAATCCAAATAGATGGGCTGAATGTGCTCCTCTCATTTGTAACCTTTCTTATACTCTTATGAATTTACATTACATTTTAAAATTAAATGAGAATGTATGAATACATTGTACTATATATTATGTAAAAGGAGATAATATATCTAAGGTTTGATTTGCTATTGAACTGCTATCATATACAGTGTTACATGCATTCCTGCCTGCAAAAAGAAGAAAAAAAAACACTTCGCATTTTGTGGAAAAAATGCAAATTCTGCACATTGTGTTTATACAGTATGTACAGTAATGTCTCTATTGTATATGTCATCACTTTTATGATTAGGATGACATGCTTTTAGAAATGGTGTATGAAAAATTGCATTATAATGTTATTATCATTTAAGATATTATAACTATAAACATTTTAAGTTCTAATATATTAAGTACATTTTAAACATCAAAAGTCAAAATAGAAAAGCTGACCAAAATTATGATTTGTGATTTTATAATTAAAATCATTTGATATATCACAGTCAAAACAGCCACAATTCACCTCAATACTTATTGTAAGTAACATCTGCTTTATGGGAATTATTTAAAACAGCCTTGTGATATCAAAAAGGACACCGCATGGTGTGATATGACTTTGTCTCAAACTTAAATTACTTTACAAATTATCTGCAAAATTAATGTTGTGAGAACATACTCTCATGCATTAACTATCCTCTTCTTACTATTATCATTAATAATCCATTCCACCACTTTTATTGTCAGTACTACTGCATATTAGCCTTAGGTTACATCTGATGCAATGTGGTTAACGATGTTCCATTACATTTCAATTAAGAGTTAGATATTTTCTCAATGAATTCATGAGTGTTAAATGTCTTCTTTTCAGATTTGGGAAAAATTAGCAGGAACTGCACTGAAGATGGCTGGTCTGAGCCTTTCCCACATTACTATGATGCCTGTCTCATTGAATTTAATGAAAATGCAACTAAACCAGTAAGTATCTTTGTGATGGATCATCATCATTGGACTTCTAGAACATCATGTTATATGTATTACAGTATGTGTAATATGTTTGATTTAAAGTTTCTGTTTAAAGTCCTGGGATGAGGTTTGTTGTATGAGGAGTATTTGCTGTGTGAAATGACTTGCGTTTGTCATTTCTTTTAAGTCATTAAGCTGTAGGTTTATTAACTAGGTTTATTAAAGGCAGGAATAAAGACCAAGATGGGGAAGGATTAGTCCTTTTAATTTAAGCTGTTTTCCTCTTTTAAAGAAGAAAAGGAGTTTAAATGTGTCCCCTTTATAATTCTTTCTGAAATGTTAGAAAGAGGGAAATAACTGGCAGAGAAGACACTGGTTGCCCAATGTCTTTCGAAAGTAGTGAACTTTAACTTACTTCATCTTTACTTCAAAACATGCCTCTAAAATGTTATACTTGAGAAGCCAACATAAAAGTTAGAATGAAACGTTTTCTGAAAAGCAAACTATTGTGGCATTTCAAGTGCTCAAATTAAGGTTATTCAAAGATTCAACAGATTGAATATACAGAATATATACCATTGTTTTGACTCTGGGTTGTTATCAGTCCACTCTGAAATCAGTCACTAAATCATTGGCCTGTGGTATAACAGAATCCCCTTTGATTTGTAATTGTTACGGCCACGGACTGAGATCCGTGTCAGGTCTTGTAGTAGAACCTATGCGATGCGGGAAGAGCTGGAGAAAACAGGAGGCGTGGTAAAAGGAAACACACAGGGGTTTAACAGTGCACAAAATAATAGTGACAGTCCATGAGACAGTGAACGGGGGAGACAATGAATGGCATCCAAATCCAAACCGGTCCAAAGTCAGGTCACAGTCCGGGAGTCCAGCGGCGAGTAATCCATCCTGGGACGCGACAAGGTTAAAATCCCTGGGAAGGGGGAAAACATGAACAGACAAAACACAGAGGTCCAAGGGTGTCGGGGGTGAGGCCCTTAGGAGACGGACATAGGGTTTCCTGGTGCTAGGTGGGCCTCGCGACATCCTTACCCTAATGATGAGCCCCAAGGACGGGAGGAGCTAGTCTTTAAATAATACACCTAAGAAGGTACACCTGGGGAGCTTAATAACAGGAGTAGTGGAGCCCCCTCTAGGGAGGGATGTTGGAGGTGACGGTAATGTGACTGTAAAACTGCTGCAATGACAGTAGCATTCAAAGAGCTACAGTAAATAACTCATAACTTGCCTAAACACCATGGTCATGCTGTACAAAAAGTCACCAGTGGTCCTGTAACAATAACTTTGAATAAATAAAAATGGTGAGTCTGAATCAAGTTGGTTTAAAAGTAGAATAACATTTTCAAAATGTTTTGCTACAGATGCAGCCATTCAAAGTACGTGGGTCAGACACGTACCGCGGGTAATTTGCTACGGCCTCGTGCATCGTGATGCAAAATACTGCGGTACGTGATTGGTTGAACGACAGGGGCGCTCGTGGTGTGTTGGTCGGTCGTAGAAAGATTTAAATGTCTTTTCTGTGCCCGTTTTACTATTGAATATTTATATGGAATTTTATCACTGAAGGGAAGTCTTAGTAGCTGAGCATAAAAAGAATAGGAGCATACTGTAATGTGTGTGAAGGCCATAGACGATATTAATTTTGGAACATAAACAAGCATACTTTTAGAATTTGATTAAAAGGGAATATAATATGGAATCGCGTATCTAAAGAAATTAATAACGATATAATCATATTCATTTACCGCAACACAAGAATAGTACACTCTGTACATTGGCTGTTGATAATGTTTCTGTAGGGCTTTTTTAACACTCCTCATGTGACCTTGCCAGTGGCGCTGTGGGTTAGGTTCCTGACTCACACATCACACGTTGGGTGTTGGAATCCAGCCGGAGCCATGACTTTTTTTTAACAAACATTTCTTTGAAAAAATGAAACTTTTCCCTGGGTCAGATATTAAATAAAACTTCACTCGCACCAAACAAATTTATATTTCTAAATATCACAACATGATCGAATTTAAGTAATTTTAATAACAATGAATAGTCACCTATGCGTTACAATATAAACATTTATATTGATTTAAATCACAAACGTGTGTTTAAATATATGTGTTTTTTGATTCACAATCAGACAAATGCAACATAAATTGATATCTTTGTCTTCTAAGTATCTTAATAAACTTTCAGCATAGCTTTCTCCCCGTTTAGATGTATTCTTTTGGGATCAAACGTGGAAAGATTAGATTGTAATTGTTTTTATTTTTTAAATACATTTTAGAAAAGTGTAATCTTTACTAAAAAACTATACACCACCTACTATAAAGATACATATTGTAATACTTTCGGGTTCGGATAGGACAGACACAAGAACT